CCAATGCAGTCATTSACTCCAAGTTGGCTCCCCCAATTCTCTGTTGTTTCCATCTCTTGGGGCCTGGCMCAGGGAGGTGTCCTTGAGTTTGGGGCTGCAGAGGAATTATTCTGTGTAAAAATGGGAGAGCATGAGCTGGGAACTCTCTGTGGAATCTGGAGTTAAACACTGAAGGATCACAGGGKTACAGAGACAGGGWAATAGAGAAACTGAAATCCTAARGCATCAAATGGTCAAGAGATATATTTACAATACAATGGCAACCTGATTTAAATATTTTTTAAAATAAATTAAAAGTTGCACCCACAGTTATCAAACACCTCTGTAACTCAGATCAGGGCATTACTCACACTGAAGAAAACAGTGCATGGAAATAAGTCCAACTTCACCAGTTTTAATGTAATTACAAGAAGTTTTACAGAGCTCTGCCATGGTTTAGTATCCATGGGTTTTTTTGCTGCAAAATAATCCTTAATATTATTCACAGTGAAGGAATAATATGAATATGAAATCTAGAATTTATTTCCAGAACTATAAAAAATAAGGCTGAGTTTACAGYTGAGTAGACTGCGACAGAGGGAATATGAGGATTTCTGAGCAATTTATATATCCTAGACTTTATGAAAAAGCTGGCTTCTCTTTAGTTACAGAAACAGCTACTGCTTGAAATTATTAGTAAGTTTAAAATGACATGGGATATTTTTATTTTTATGAATAATAGAAGAAGATTGGTGGAGAATTATTTAGCAAACCATTGTGGCCTATGTCACCTTCTCCCCTGCTTGGTGGAGAAAGGGCTGTGTCGGGTTTTTACCAGCTGGAGCACAAAATCTGTGAACCCAAATATTAGCAAAGGCAAAGAAGACCAAACAGATGAAATAATTTTAATTGAAGTCTTTACAATTCCTGACTGCAGGGGCCATAATTCTCCCCAACATGTAGCTCACAGCCATAAATCTGAGTGCTCAAATTTGGGCTTCTTTCTGTGCATCAGCCTGGTTTGCCTCATACTCACAGCCCCCGCTACCTTCAGGGAGGCTCTGTGGAGAGCTGGAGCTTTTGAAGAAATCAGGCCATGTATATTTAGGCCTGAAAGATGGATTTAGAAAACTTTTAAGCAGCTGGATGGAGACATTTCGCCTCTCCTAACAAAGGGAGCAAAGAGCAGCAGCAGCTCCCAGAGGGGAAGCACCAAAGCYCTTCTCTGGAGAAGCACAATGGCACAGGATTTGTCCATGCAGAGCTTCGCAGTGGCAGCCAAGATCACTCTCCTGTGCCTCAAGGACAGCAGAGAGGAGCCAACTCTTATCCAAAAAGCATTAAAATGTTGTGGTGCTTCAGCTGGTAAGGACAGCCAGCTACCRGCCAGCCAGGCTTCGTGCTGGCAGCACTACAGAGCTTCAGCTGGCTCAGAATTAGGAGASRTTGTCRRTTTGGGCATATTTTTCATTGCCTGMCTCGAGTTTTGCCTTTCTTTARGGGAATCACATCCCTTCCCATGTAGGGGCTCAAATTTGTCTCAGAGCAAGGTCAACAGAAGCGAAAGAGATAAAAGTCCAAGTAGAGAACATCAGAACCAAAGCAGCTTTCCTCTAATCTTTTGGCAAAAGATAAYGGTTATTTAGAAGAACACTGCATGTGAAGCGCTTGTTTATCTTTGTGCCAAGTGAAAAGGCAGCTCTCAGATGGTTTAATACCAGCTGAAATCGCTTATCTGCACACTGGGAACGAACGGGGGAAACGAACGCGCTGCTGGCCACTGAAGGGGAATTAACGGGGGAAATGAACGCGCTGCTGGTCACTGAAATGAAGAGATAATGGGGTTCCTGATTCCTGATTCTGTCTGTCTCCAGGAGTGGCCATGCTGGAAGGGCCCATGTATGCGGTGGGTGGGCACGATGGCTGGAGCTACCTGAACACAGTGGAGCGCTGGGACCCGCAGGCGCGCCAGTGGAACTACGTGGCCAGCATGTCCACACCCCGCAGCACCGTCGGGGTGGCAGCCCTCAACAGCAAGTATGGCCACAGGAAAACYTCCCTCTGCCTTTGCATTGCCTTCCTTCCTTGGAAGTGCTGGGTGTTAAATGTTCCCTTCAGGCCGGTGGTTATTAATGACCTCCAGGAAACCAAGGGAAAATGCGATGCGTAGAAATAAGAAAGCTTTTTCTTTTGGTGATTGATTTCAGGCTTGCAGACAGGTTTTAATTTATTTCAGCCATTTGAAGTTATAGCAATATGCTACATGCATATCATGATTTTACCTAGATATAACTTCTGGGGATGTAAAATTAGCTACTTAAAAAAATAATCCAAGTTTATGCTTATGCTTTGAAATCATTGTGTTCAAATGGACTTAAAAGAATGTGTATGGAAGCAAAGTCTTTCCTCTGCCATACAAATTCACAGCCAATTTTTTAAAATGTTGAAGGTGTGTGGTGTGTTTAATGGCAAGAAGACAAGTTTGTTAATTAGGTATGGAATAAGCAGCCTCTTAGAAATCTTATCTCATCCTGATTAGTTCTGCCCCCACCAATTGCTTAAATACACCAAAATCAGGTGTTAATGTGTTTAAACATTCTGCTAGGATCCTAAAGCCACTCACATCCTTTAACCTGGGAGCAGACACCTGCATGGACCTTATAAAAACCTTGTGAAAGGCCCCAGGTTATGGAAAATACAGTTTGAGCCMACATTTCTTATTTAAACCTGAGGGAAGCTCTTGGCAGTGACCTGGGAACACTCAGTTACAGGCAGAGGATTGCATTTACCTGGAACCTTTGCCACTGGCTTCCCTGATCACCTTGTAAATYCCAGAGAAAGAGAAGGATAAAAAGSAGAAACAAAGATGCCAGCAGAGGGRTATTTGTAAATGCAAAGGTTCTTCCCATGCAAGTCAGGGTTTTGCCCTCATACAAGGCAGGATTCCAGCAGGAGCTCCCAACCTCAGGAGAGGCAGAAGAGCCTCTCCAGGTCCCTGCTGTACCTCAGAGGAAATGCTCWCAGCAGAAACTCCACCAGAAGCTCCTGTTGGTGCCTTCCACATCCACAACATGCAGGAAACCACTTTGTCAAGGAGGAAATCAGCCCAGTCCTGACTCTGTTCTCAATCATTGCTGATACAGACTGTCTCCAGCCAGGCGTAAATCACGTCTGTTAGTCTGGTGATGTAATTCCTGGCATGCAGGAGATCAAATGTCCATCACTCAGTGCTGCTGCTGCTGTCCAGCAAAGCAGAATTCTTCTCCTTTTCCTGTTTCCCTAAGCCACACCGTATTTTTTCCTGTTCGACCCCACCAGAAAACACTTTACAGTTCTGTGGAATAACACTTTTGGATCAACGAAGGGTCCATTGAAAACATCAGTCAATAATGCTATATTTGGCCTTTTCCTCAGAGAATGGGAAACACCATCTTGTTTGTAGACACATTATGGAAAACAAAGCATCCCAACCAATCCCTTTGTTTGTACAGAGATTTCCTTTCCCTGTGAAAGCTGTGCAAACAAGCAGTCTGTGTCCAGTGCCACGATGAGAAAAGAAAATAAATCAAAACCTTAAGTTCTGCATGGATCAGACAACAAACTGAACAACCAAACTCAATTTTATGAAGCAGACAAACGTTAGGAGAGGGASAGCTRGGAGTTTTTTATTATTCTAACAGTRGTCAGGAATCTTCTRGTTAAAATATGCATCAGAGCAGTCTAAAAGCTTTTTAAGTCACTGGAATAAAAGAGGCATTTCTAAAGGAAAATTAATCTGGCCTAGTTCACGTGATTTACTCTGGGCATGTCCACGTTCCCTAAGTCTCTAATTAGCTACACAAAGTAAATTCAATTTCATGGCAGAAAACAACAACCTGGGTTTGAAAGGGAGTGGAAAAAACAGCGCACTCAACATCTGACCACATCTTCTAGTGCATCCTATCATAGTCCAGCTTGAGACCAGAAAGAAATTCAGGCTTTGTAAAGTTCATTGACAAAAATCTACAACCCCCAATGTTTTTTACCATGGATAAATAATTTATTCTTACAAGTTGTCCCAACACCAGCTGTTTAAATCTCCAGTAGTTTGCTAAGTTTGTTCAGGCTGAACAGACACGATGACTCAAGGAGTACCTTCTGTCAGGCAGAATTTCTTAAATACAAACTCAGAGGAAAACATTTTARCACATGTTTCATATATGTTTTTGGTGTCTGTTCAAGTTATTAAAGTSCTTTAACAGCAAAGGAAAGACTTTCAGTGTGAAAAGATGTCAAACATTCTGTAACCCTGTCCAAAAGGACACTGCCATATATTTCAAACATATGCAGCATCTTTCAATTCAATTCTTTCTATTGCTCATATTTAGAGTACCTGAGATGAAATTTTAAGCTTAATTTAAAGCTAAGTTTAAGCTTAATGTGTGGCTGCTTGATTATTAACACTGCAAGGGAAGAACATAACTTACTTCATACAATATGCAAAAACCTCAAAGACAGATCTAGAGCACAGCAAATAATGTGCGTGACAACAATTTTAAAGTGTTCTGAATGATGCAATAAAATCCCCATTAAAGTGGGAGGCTGAGGCCTGAAGCTGTTTCCCCACTGGTGGGTTGTTCCCCAGTGTGGTCGACGGGGAGCAAGGTCACTCAGACACCAATATGATGAGCATGATCCCTTTATTTCTAATACAAGCTCCTTTTTATCTACTTTCATAAGCCAGCCTTTCTATATGATTAGCAATGCCTTTTTATATGATTAGCAATTATTCATTGGTTAATTTAGCAGTCTATTACATTTCAGCATATGATTGGTATATTTGCAAAAGCGTGTTTTTGTATGCCTTGCAGTTTTAAATCAACGTTCTCAGCATTTTG